AGAATCGAGGTGCCCGTCGAGATCGAGGCCAACAACTATCGAGACCAAATATGACCGACTTCGAGCAAAGCGCAATAACAGAAGGGCGAGATATCCGTAACCGGTCGAAGATCACGGCAGAAATCCCGGAACATATCAAATCAAGGGCGGTAGTTTAGGCTAATCATGGAATTTACTTCTGTAGTTAGAGTTATACCATAATTAGGATTTCTCTACTATATAAAGGGGAGTTCCCATCATTTGTAGGCATCTCACATTCACACAGGTCAAAGCAATATAATATTCTCTCTTTAATTCATGTTCTCTTGTTTATCAGTTTGCTGCTTTTTAACTGTTCTTGCTCTACTAGCTCGAGAGTATTCCAACTCGAGGGCTTTATTCAAACACTGGTTTGCTTTATATTATTGTCAATTTCCATTACTTATCTTTACGTTAATCAATTGGTATTAGGTGAATCAACGTATCCTTAAAATCACATTATAAATTTAATTGTTATCCAGTTTTTAGGGTAAACAGACACAAATCTATATCAATCAGAGCTCCAAAGCAGATATTGGACATCTATTGGGGAAAAAAACATAGAGCTATAAATTAAGCATAAATAAACCCCTGGCTGCTTCAACTAGCAAGTATTGTCCTACTCTATGATGGAGACTCTCCTGCCCTTTTTTGTTATGGTTTGTTGGAATTTTCAGATGCAGTGGCCAATGGTTTTCCATTGAATGATACGCGGAGGTTGTTTTTCCTTTTTAGAAAGAAAAGAGATTGATTTCTTCGAAGAATAATACAAAATATATTTCGTGACTTTACTAATGCAATAAATAAGTTCTATAACTTTACTAATATCAAAATAATTTTATGGCTTTACTATTGCAATAGATAAAGTTCAATAACCACGCAACAATAACGAAATATCGAGTAGGCCATAACTTATTTTGTTGGCATGCCGCTGTTTCTCAGTGACAACATTTGTATCATGTGACAGTTTTCGCACTTTGTTTGACACCAATCATTATCATGTTTTTTGTTATTTATAATTACAAGTAATATTATATTTTTTAAACTTAACAAATAAGAGTATATATTTATATCTTACCTCATTCCTCCGGTATATCTTGACTCAGACTTCCTCCATCTTGAATAGTTATGTGATTCAAGTTGTTTCTGTTACACATGTTTGTCTTTTCTGTAATAATTACCTCCTTTTTTTTAAATTTGGATAATTGAACTTTGTTTTGCTATCTTATATTAGTTTTTATTTATATGTTCCAACGTTTTCCAATTTTTTATGAAAATTAGAAAAAAAGGAAGCCACAAAAAAAAAAAAAAAGGCGCCAGCTTGCAATATAAATGCATACTTGTTGCCCTTTACATCATCAATAATTTTCAGATATGCAAAATTATAATGTGGAAAAAAAATACTTCATTTTGATTATGTCAAAACTTCAATTAGTAATCACATAAAATAATTTGATAAAAACGTCTTTGATTTAATATAAACATTAAGTGAGGATAAATGCTTATCTCATATTCCCCTGTTCCAGATCTCTAAACACCCAAACAAATATTAAAAATTGGGATATGCTGGTATTGACGTTAAAATATTGAAATTTGACCAAAACAGTGAACCCTGAAATATTAATACGATTAGAAACATACGTGGAGGCTGTTTAGGCAGTTGGCTTAGTTAGTTTGGATAAAGACATAGACTTGCTTATTAAACTCCATATTCCAGTATAGCAATGAATATCTTATTTAGGCTCAAATTATGGTTGCCAAACTAGATATTTTATTTACATATTTTTTAGAATTAATCTAATAATATTTGGTGACCCTCATGCTCCAAAATGATTGAATGATTCACTTAGTTTAATGTTAAATTATTTGCGTGAAAAAAGAGGGATTAGTTCCCACTAAATACATACTACTTCATTCCTACTTATTTTAGTGGTGTACACATATTTTGAAAATTCAAAATCCGCTTCTGAGCACAACTCTAATAAAGTTGATGTGGGCGTTGAGTACGCCTTCATTTTCAATTTATGTGAACCTATTTGACTGGACACGGTGTTTAAGAAAAGAGAGAAAATTTTTGAACTTGTGGTGTAAAATAAGGCACATATATTTTGTGTAGCTATAATTCATTGCATAAAGGTAAATTGTTTCCAAATAAGGAATAGGGTCATTCTTTTTGGCACTTACTTTTTTTTTTGGTAATTAAAACTTTCATTTACGAGGGAAATATTTACAAATAAATCAAAAAAACCCTTACATATATCCTACACTTTCTCTACTTCTCCCCTCCTTTACCACCTTTCTATACTATACTATACTATTTGTCTATTACATAGAGTACCAATCCAGTCTGCTTAATGCTTTTTCCGCATACTTATTGCTTCGACAATGTATTTCCTGTATAATCATCTTGCCAAGTATCTCCCATCGTCTCACTTTAGCTTGAAAGATTCTGGTATTTCTTTCTTGCCACACATAGTATACACATGTTGCTAGTGTCATCTTATATACTCCCTCCGTTTCATATTAAATGAGGTATTTTCCTTTTTAGTCTGTTCCAAAATAAATGACACATTTCTAAATTTGGAAACAATTCAACTTTAAACTCCTCATTTTACCCATTTTACCCTTAATGAGAAGCTTTTATAACCACACAAAAGCCACGGCCCCATAAAGCTTTACCCCTTAAGCTTTTAAGACTATAAATTTCAAAAATCTTTCTTTTTTTCCTTAAACTCCGAGCCGAGTCAAACTACCTCATTTAATTTGAAACGGAGGGAGTAGTTCATTTGTTGCAGTTTTCCTCTTCAGCCATTTTTCAGCCCATGCTAGCTCCTCAACCCATCTATATACTGGTCTTCTTATCCCTTGCCAAGTTAGCAGATTACCCCACAATTCGGCTGCATATGAGCACTCAAAGAATAAGTGTTGAATAGTTTCACTTGTTTGTCTGCACAGAACACACTCCTGATCAATTTGCATTCCCCATTTTCTCAGTCTGTCTTTGGTACATAACTTGCCATGTGCTGTCATTGTTAGTATAAATGTCCACCTAGGGCAGCCTGCATCATTGCATACAACTCTTCTCCAACTCACTTTACTGAAGCTTCCTCTCAGCTTGTGATATATATGCTTAATAGAACAGTGGTTCATCTTTCTGATGTCTTCATGATTAAAGCCTGCTTCCTCAAATGTCTTCTTTGCTTTCATAATCTTGCTCACCATCCATGATGTTTGCTTCAGTTGGACTTCCCATATGTTCCTGCCTTTGATGTAGTAACTGTGCACCATTGAATCCAAAGTTTGTTCTTCTCTTTGCATAGGTTCCAATATTGTTTACATATAGCTGCTTTGTTCCACAGTATGATGCTCATAATGTTGAAACCCCCTGCTGATTTGGGCAGACATACTTTTTCCCATGCCAGTAATGCTTTCTTAGAGATATTGCATTCCCCTGTCCACAAGAAATCTACATATTGCCTCAATTAGTTTAGTGATCTTCTTTGGGAGGACAAGGATTTGTGCCCAGTAAGTTTGAATAGAGAACAGTACACTTTTGATCAATTGAATCCTTCCAGCATAAGATAGGAATTTAGCTGTCCATGAGGTTATTCTGCCAACTGTTTTATCAATTAAGGGCTGGCATTGAACTACTGATATTCTCTTAGAACTTAAGGGAGCTCCCAAGTATCTAACCGACAGTTCACCTTTTTAGATTCCCAGAAATTCCAGAATAGTTTTCTGTGCATCTTGTAATACCCCTCCAAAAAATTTAGCTTTTATTCTTGTTTATCACCAATCCTGAAGCTTTTGAGAATTCTATGAAGCAGTTATAAAGTAGCTTGATTGATCCTATGTCACCCCTGCAAAAAAGTAAAAGGTCATCTACAAAACCAAGTTGCAAAATTTGCAACTTTTCACACTTGGGATGATAACTGAAATCTGGAATCTAGTTCAGAGTCTTTAGGTTTCTTGTCAAATATTCCATTGCCAGCACAAATAGAAATGGAGATAATGGATCCCCTTGCCTCAGCCCCTTCCTAGCTTCAAATGGTTGTGTCAATGAACCATTAACCAAGACTGAATACGTAACACTTTGCATACATGTCATGATCCATCTCACAAACTGTTCTGGAAAAGCCAATGCATTCAGCACTGCTCCATAAAGCCCATTCAATAGAATCATATGCCTTCTGCATATCTAGTTTCATCATACACCTTGGTGACACCCATTTCCTTCCATATCCTTTGACAAGTTCATGGCTAAGAATAATGTTGTTAGTTATCACTCTTCCAGGAAAAAAGGCAGACTGTATTTTATCAATCAGTGCATCCATCACCCTTTGTGATCTCTTAGTTAAGACCTTAGAGATCACTTTATACAAAGTAGTGCAGCAAGAGATTGGTCTGTATTCTTTAACACTAGTAGGATTTCTTACTTTAGGGATCAAAGTGATTGCTATGCAGTTGATAGGTCTGTACATTTGAGCTGATTCAAAGAATTCCATAACAGCCTTAGTCACATCCTCTCCTATGACTTTCCATGCTTTTTTGAAAAATACTGCATTGAATCCATCATATCCAGGTGCTTTTAGGTCACTAATATCCTTCAATGCTAACCAAACTTCCTCCTTAATCACTGGTTGGATGAGTTGCAACTGTTGCTCCCTACTTAATACTGCTCCCATCTTCATGACATTTGGATTAATAGCGAGGATACTTGCTGCTTTTGAACCCAACAATTCCTTATAATATCCCAATATTCCTGCATCTATGTCTTCTTCTAGCATTAGTTGGATCCCCAGGTCAATTGTTAGAGCCTGAATACCATTCAAGTTATTCATGTTCTTCATTTGTGCAAAGAAATAAGCAGAGTTTGAATCTCCCAGTTTCAGCCATTGGACTCTGGATCTTTGCTTGTAGATACTCTCTTCAATCAGTTTCCATTTTTCTAATTCACATTTTAAACTTTTCTCCTTCTCAATTTAGTCTGGCTGTTGCATTCTGTCACTCATCTGCTCTTGAACAATTTGCAACTCCTTCCTAGCTTCTTTAATTCTATCTTCTACCCTTTGATAATGTTGTATGTTTATCCCTTTTATAACCTCCTTGACCCTTTTGAGCTTATTCCATACTTCCTGTATCGTTCCCTTTGTTTCATCTACACTCCATACTTTCTCAACATGCTGTATAAATTGAGGATGATCTTCTATACAATTAAAAAATCTGAATGGCCTATTATTCTTCCTCTGTATCTGTATAATCATTAGTTTAAGTGGAGAATGATCAGACACACATGGTTCTAGCACCTGTATTTTCACGCTTGGGATTGTCAGCATCCAGTTAGCATTAACCAATCCCTTATCTATTCTACTATAAGTATGATTATTTGTCCAGGTATATTCCCTTCCCACAGTTTGTAACTCATTCATCCCAGTATCCTTCATGAACTCCTTGAAATCTTTTGTCTCCATATCTTGTATCACAGAGCCATGTTGTCTGTCTTGGTCATTTAACACAGCATTGTAATCTCCCATTGATAACCAAGGCCCCTGTTGTGTACTATGAATCTGTCTCAGCTTTCTCCACAAACTCTGCCTGTCTTTGATAGTATGTAACCCATAGATTGCTGTAAATCCAATCGTAAACAACTTTGAGACTGTTCTGAGCTGCCCATGTATTAGCTGCTCATCAATTTCAGTTGGGTCAAACACATTGATTCTAGGATCCCAAATCACCCAAATTCTACTTCTGTTCATTGTACTAAAGTTAGTTATCCATTGCCATCCAGGTGCAATCTTCTTCATTACATCTCTAGTTTTCTGTTCCTTTATTCTGTGCTCAACTAGAGCTATTACTGCTTTTTTATTTACTTTTATAAACTCCTTTATCTCCTTTTGCTTATAACTTTTATTCAAACCCCTAACATTCCATGTGAACACACTTATACTGGTATGAAATGAGTACCTTGATACAGCTCCTGCATCCCTACACTCCTCATCTGCATATAGTTTGTGCCTGGATCACTATTTGCTTGATCATTTCTCAGAGATTGGAATCCATTGTTTCCAACCAGGTTTTGCTCCTCATTTTGTTTAGCTTTGGTTTCCTTTGCTGCTGACTTACCAATCACTGTTATCCACCCATCTTCCTTTCCTTGTTTCTCATTGTCCTTTGTCTTTGCCCCTTGTTCTGATGTTTGGACTGCTTCATTCTTCTTACTTTGTTCAGCCTCCTATTTTTTATCATTTGAGCCATCTCTATCAGTTCTGAGCCAAACTTGTTTGCCTTTATTCACCTTCCTCTGATATATCATTCTCTGTGGTTTTGGCGCTTTGACTTCATTACAATCATGGCCCATTTTCAAATATTTAGCACAGAATGCTGGCTCCCAATCATATGTAATTTCTTGCAGTATTGTTTTGCCCTTCGGATCTTGCAGCTTCACAGTTCTAGGCAATGGTTTAGTGACATCCATTTCAATTAGCATTCTTGCATAAGAGATTCTAATTGATCTAGTAGTGCACTCATCAGCATAGACAGGTTTTCCCAAAGCACTACCTATCTTGCTTAGGGCCTTCATACTCCAACAATTGAGCGGCAAATTAGGAAATCTGACCCACAGGGGATTGGTTTTCAGTACTCCATCATGCAAATTGAAATCTGCTGACCATGCTTTCATAATTATAGGACGATTGTTCACCGTATGAGGGCCAGAAAATAGTACTTGATCTCTTTCTTCCAAATTACTGAACTTTATCACAAAATAATCACCATTATGATAGTAGATCTATGGCTTCACTGAAAATTTACCCACTGAGCTCAGGAATCTTTCCATTGCTCCAATAGTAGGTGAATCTCCTATCACATAAAGCACAATCGCAGAACTCCACTTACCATTTTCCTGTTCTACATCTTCGAGGTCTAATTTCACAATCTTCTCACCATTCTGAATTATCGGTTCAATAAATTGCAGATTCATGCCTTTCATCGCTAATTTGTTACCCCCTACCACATTTGCCCACGTCTGAGTCTTGCTAACTTTTCCTAAGTTAGCAATTTTACTGTTCTCAACAGTACTTGAGTTGCATGGTACTGTTCCATTGTTGCTCGGAGTGTTCGTTTGTATTTGAGCTGTCCCGCTTCCAGATCCACCTCCTATAGCTTGTGCAGCTACAGGTGTAACATCTACAGCTTTCATTTTGCCATTTCTTCGAGCTAGATCTGCTTCCTCCTTGCTCTGTACTTTGCATGCTTCTCGGAGTGACTGCTTCATTTGGTTCTTCAATTCTCACTCCCTTTGGTGAAACAAACAATTCTCTAACACCATTTCTTGCTTCCGTTGATCGTTGATCTGTAAACGGAACCTTCGTAAGGTTCTTCTTAGGTCTGTCTCTCCCTCCCATGGCTTCCAAAGCGCACGTTAGCTAGGCCACGTTAACGTGCGCCGAGAGAAACGTTAGAGAGATAAAATTCCACCTTATTTGGTTTCATCTTTTTTTTTGGCACTTACTAAAAAGGAAATAAGTTCACATAAATTGAAACGGGAAGAATATTACTTTTAGTTTCTCCGGTGTTCGATTGTCGCATTAGACTACAATTAATTTGAATTAGGTCATATAAGGACCATAAAGGAGAATATATTTTTTATTATAATTCTTTTCATACTCATAATTTGAATTTGTATCCATCCAAAAACAATCTCTTTGTGATAAGTAACATGCATGTAAAAAAGAAAAATAGGAAGTCGAATTAATTGCTCTTTCCCTCGTGAAGGTGGAAAATGGTAGAGCAAAGGGATGGAGGTGTAATAAATGAAAGAGGTTTGGGAAGAATGGGATGTGCGCAGAAATAGGAAAATACAGCTTCGAATAACGTAAGAAAAAGACCCAATCATAGAATAAAGAGGCACCCTCTTTTTTCGTGCAACATCAAGTCCTGACTCACATGATTTTCCTCCTTTACTTTAATAAACATAAGTTCTTTATTTTATGTAATATTTTAAAATAAAAAGCGATTTACTAGTAAGTATTGCATGGAGTATTATCTAAATTATAACTTACTTGTCACTCATACAATTAACATTTTATTAATTAAGACTTAAAATGGTAATTAAGGATGCATTTGTAAAAATAATAATTAACATTTTATCTTTTAAAACGTTTAATATACCTAATGTTCTGTTCGACCTGAGTCCAAAATAACTCGCAAGCCTGACAGTAGTGTCAATGGCAGAAAGAGAGTACTACCAATTAGGTCATGAATTGCTGTAGATATACTTTTGTATTCGTTTATTTACGTGTGTGTTTATATAATACAAAATCTTTAAAAAGTTTTAACTGCATACATATGGAGTTCAAGATTAAAATAATCTGTTGCACTGGTTGACGTTTCAGCCTCTGCTCAAAATATGAATATTGGCACATGAGAATCCCCATAAACAGGCCGCAATGCATGCCATGCTCAACTATAGCCAGGCGGATTCAACTATAACCAGGTTTTAGGGTAATACTTTTGATGCGAAATATAAATTTATGGGCAAAAAATCACTAAATTACAATAACTAGATACAAATAATAACTTTTTAAATATAATAAGTTCAACGCTAAGATTGAAATCATACAGTATAAATTTTGGATTCGCATCTAACTACACCTAAAGCTCTAGAAGCGTTCATAAAATTGGACCTACGCCACTACAAAAAAAATTGGAATTAGATACGAACGTCGTCGCTAATCTGTCGCTAAAGAATTTCTTGATAATCCATTGCTAATCCGTCGCTAAATGAGATTAGCAACAAATCTTTCTGTTTAGCAACATAATTTGTCCGTCGCTAAAACTTGAATTTTTAGTAGTGTATACTTTACATTTTTTTTTTTGTAACACTGTGAATTACCATTGATAACAAACAATAAGTGTACTCCTATAAAGCACCTCGAAACCAAAACTTCCTTATTAGGGAGGAAAGCTCTGGATCAAGCCTCGGAGTTTCACTAATTACACATCAAATTTGAATCAATACACTGCATCTCTGGCCTTTTCTAGTTTGTTAAGCAAGTCAATCCTATCTCCTAGCTCTCTTTTTATTTGCGTTACAATACTCTCCACATTTACATTTATATTCCTGAGCTTTTCCAGTTCCTGGCCTTCCAAATATAGTATATTATTGTTGCCCATATTGCTGCTACAACCTCTTTCTTAACCTATTGTCATTTCTTCCTTTTAATTATGTACATAACTCTTTGTATATCTCTTAGTTGCATTTGTATTCCTGCCCAGTGCATTAGAGTATCTCGAACAATTTTGGACCATGGACAATCTACAAACAAGTGTTGATTTGTTTCCACTGCTTGATCATCACATAAACTACAGTTATCTTCATCCACCTGTATGTGAAGAGTACTTAACTTGTCCTTAGTGAACAGTCTTCCTTGAGTAGCAAGCCACATGATGATCTTATGTTTTGGTTGAGCTATTGCATTCCAAAGAAGATCAACGGTTGGTTGTCTCCTATGAGGTCCTTTAATGGATACATAACTCCTTGTGATAGAGTAGTTCCCATTGGCACATAGCTTGTAGTTGTCACCTTGATACCAGCTCTTCATCTCCTCCTTGAATTTAATTTTCTCCAATATTAACTACAATCATGTGGAACCCTGTGAGTCCAAGTATTTGAATCAGACTTTATATATACACCATGAACTCATTTGACCCATAGGGAGTCCTTTTTCATTACCAGTTGCCATAGTAATTTACCAACTGAAGCTTTGTTCCATTCTCTACAGCTTTTAATGTTGAGACCTCCATACTTCTTGGGCAAGCACACTTTCTTCCAAGCTACTAGTGATAGCTTCTTCTTCTCACCTGAGCCACCCCACAAGTACTCTCTACACATCATATCAACTTCCGTCATAATGCTCTGAGGAAGTAAAAAGACTGCCCCCGGAAGCTATGAATAGAGAATAACACTGCAGTAATCACTTGAAGCCTCCCTGCATAGGACAACTGCTTAGCATAGCTCAACAAGCCGATAGCATTCCATCTTGCTCCACTTCTTAGGTGACAGTTGTAAACCAAGGTACCTTATAGGAAAAATACCTAGGGAAAATTACTTGTACTGCTTAGAAGAGTTTCCTTCAATTGATCATTGATACCTGCCATAAACATGCTAGATTTTTTCATATTGGCCACCAATCCTGATACACTACTGAAATATTCTAGTGCCTCTAGGACTCTATTTACTGAATCGGTTTCTCCCTTACAAAACACCATGAGGTCATAAGCAAATATTAGATGTGTTAGGTTCAGCTGCTTGCACATAGGATAGAATTTAAAATATGGTAGAGCACTCATACTTCCCAATGTCCTGAATAGATACGCCATAATAAGTACAAATAATAGAGGTAAAATAGGATCACCTTGTCTGAGTCCCCTTTTTTCCTAAAAAAAACCATGACGATCTCCATTAACAATGATAGAGAACTTAGTTGAGGTTACACATGCCATAATCAAATCTGTGATTTTGGTTGAAAAACCATAGCCAATCATGATCTCCTCTAACAATTTCCAACTTACCATGTCATATGCTTTCCTCGGGTCTATTTTCATAAGGCGCGGAATAGTCTTCCTATTATAATTCCTTAATATATCATGACAAATAAGGACATTATGGAGCATAGATCTACCAAGCAAAAATGCTGATTGGCTACTACACAATATTTTTAAAATTCACTTGTTCAAAATATTGCATCAGGAAACTAGCTTGAATTGGCTTGCATACTCTGGGTTGTTTAGTTTTGGAATTAGTGCAATACTAATTGAATTTAACTGTTTCAACAACTTTCCATTATTGAAAAAGTCCAGAACTGCATCAGTAACCTCTTCTGCTATAATTGGCCAGGCTGACTTAAAGAAGCCACTATCATATTCATCAGGACCTGGGCTCTTATTACTGTCAACTTGGAATATAGCAGTTTTTACCTCTTTCCTCTCAAATGGTTTCAATAGGTCCACCTGTTGTGCAGTTGTTAATACAGGTCCATTTTTCATGAATGCTTCAACAGCTTTAGCTCTACTACTTGCTTTTTTTCCCATCATTTCTTCATAGTATGTGACAAATACCTGAGCTATACTCTGCCAAATGTCCTGTTCATCCTTCAATTGGTAATTGCCTGATAAAGTCTTTTATATTTAATAAATGAATAAATGTATATTGTAAAATCATCCCCTAACTTTATCCATGTTGCTTTTCTCTTTTGTTGCAAATAGACCTCAAATAAATAAGAGTGCTTGAACTGTTGGTACTTCTGATGCTCTTCCTCCTGCAAATTTAAGTATGTTGTATTTAGTTGTAGCTGCTTCTGGACTTGTAATAAGGCATCCCTATCCTCCTTAGCTTCAGATTCAATGTTCCTAAAGAAATTCTTGTTAAGGCCTCTCAAAACTTTCTTTAATAGCTTCAATTTTCTCACCACCCTCAGTATCTTTCAACCTTCAGTTTCTATATTCCAACCACTACTAAAAACCATCAAATTTGCGGCCGTCAAATCAGTCGCAAATCGGTCGGAAATCGTATTTTTTCGACCGATTTGCGACTAAAAGTGTCAGTCAGAAAACGTGTGGTCGCAATATTTTGGGATAGAATCAGTCAAAATTTACGACGGATTCCGTCGCAAAATGAAA